AGTACGTTCATATACAACACAATTGTACAAATGCCTGAAACTATTAAATAATAAATTGTAGTATATTGACGATAAATTATTATATAAAAGAAAAGTCATAATATTTATTTTTAAATTGTTAAATGTAATTATTGATCAGAAATATAATAAAGCTGTTTCAAAGTTGTATCAATAAATCGTGTAAGAGAGATGTTTTAAACTGCATTATTTTGGAAACGAGTGCGCACTCACTTGATTATTTTTATAGCAAACGCATACTCACAGCAAACGTCCTATGTATTCAGTAATTAGTTAAGTCGCCACTCGGCCGAGGAGGCCCACGATCCAATATGAACGATCGCCTTTTGAATGAAGAAATTACTATAGAAAAAATAATGGGAGTTTAGTGTAGTTTTTATGCTGATTCTTTTTAGAAATCCACTGGCTAAAGTAAATAAAATTATGTTTACTGGTCAATTATACAAGATCCTAAATTTTTTTTTTATCTAAAACATAAATTATTTACATATATTTATATAACAGTATTTATTGAATTTATTATATTAATAGATATTGTAATATTGCCTATTATGATTTGTTACACTGTACAGATTATTTTGAAAAATAAAATGCATATATTAAGAAGTTTATTTATATTTAAATTGTGACACAAGTTGCGTATTAATTAATATTTAACATTTGTAATCTGTATAATATAGTGCACATAACGGTTATGTTTATTAGATAACTTATTAAGTTATTCCCATTCTTTTATTATTGTTGCTCTAGAAATCCCTAGTCACATATTGGATAAAGTCAAAAAAATATATATACAAAATGTGTATATTATAATAATATATTATGTTGAAACAATTTAATTTTAATTTATTGTTATGAACACGCAACTGTACCCATAGTTTGAACTTCACACATGGTGTTCATTGATATTTTTAATCTAAATCTAGCTTTGTTATACGTATAAAGGCAGAATAGATAGATACTAGTGTATGATAATATAATTTTTTAACAGTATAATAATCATCAGGGGCTTTGTTAGACTAGCTGTTCCAGCGAGCGTATAACTAGGGGGTCGGTCTTAGTATCTGCGACGAGCTAGCTTCAATACTCACATTTTAATTATTTATATTTATAAATAAGTTTGTTTTCTTTAACGTCCCATACTTACTTACTGGTATGTTTATTATAAGCTGAATAGCATAAAATAAACAAATAAATAACAGAACACTCGTTAACTCTAACACGAGAGAGAGAGAGTGAAAAGAGATTGTGGTCGTTGTGTACAATCAACAGCACGTCGGGTTATACAAAAACTATCAAATTTCTCTACTTGATTTTAAACCTTAATATTTTGAGGGTAGAAGTTAGTTAAAATCGACTGGAGAAATTTGACAAAATGTTGTAACCTAACATGTAGCCGTGTGTACTTGGCACCTGTTTTATAAATGACAGGTCGTCCGAAGTCATCGCATAGAGGAAAGTGTTTTGTGATAGTATAATCTAATTTTGAGTTGAAACTGCGTTGTGTTTTCTTTATTACATAATGAATGGCAAATACAGCTACGGTACATATGAAACCAGTGGTTCCCAACCTAGGGGCAAACGCACCCCGCGGGGTAAAATAACTGTTATGTGGGGTTAACGGAAAGTTAATAATTAAGGTCAAATTTAATAAAAGAATTATAATATGGTGTTAGCCCCACAGGAGCCACTGGACTAAACAGTATGATATATCATGTAACGTATTGAACAAAGCTAGCTCTGTGAGCGCACACTGAGCCGACTAGTTTGAAACTCGTTAGTGTGATAGGGCTCTTAGATTCTCTTTCTAGCGCTGAAGTTCTGTAATATGCTGTGACGTTAAACTGATAATTCAATATTACAATTATTATTATTCAGTAAGTATCCTTTGTAAATGACAAAAAATTGCGGAAATAGAAGTACAACTTTTGGCAAATTCTCTCCTAGGTGTAATAATTTCAGTAAAATGTCAATCGTACATCTATTGACACCACCTAAAAACATTTACTGTAATAGTTAATATATATAATTTTCTGAGATATTAATGATATTTTTGTAATGATAACACTATGTTACAAAACCAAAAAATTTGCCAAATGGGAATGCTAATCATGTCAATGGAAAACCGCGTATGTATATAGTTATTTGGATATTCCTAGTCAAATCAGCCCGAGTTCAGCTTTGTTGTTGTATAATTTTCAAATTGTTTTATTATACGGTGTGGTGTGTATCAAAAAGGAAATCATAACCTCACCATATGTTGCGCGCCAAAACGCTATGGAAATCAGCGCTAGGGGAGAATCGGTCTGAGTTTAGTTTTATCACCGGCAGTGGAAGTGGAAACGATGCAAGAGAACTGAAATAGTTTTGATAATAAGATTATATCGATAAATGTAAAGGAATGAGAAAATTATTTATATGTTTCAATCTTGTATCGTATATTAGGACTAGGGGATTTGAATTTTCTCGCACATCGTATCAACTCTTCACCTGGCCGGCGTTAAAACACTAATTTTTGTGATGTCAACGCAAAATTGAAAGTATCGTCAGTATATAAGCTTACTAGTTATATGTACATCCTTTATTATAATCTCACCCGATCCAAAACTATACTTTTTATAATTAATTTACAGTATAATTTGCCTAGTTTATAATTAACTTGGGGTAGGTTTTAGGACAGGTTATATTAAAATAAACTAAGATTTTACGTTGTCATTAGAAAATGACGGTAATATCAATTTGTCGTTGACACTCGCAACACCTTTCGCGGCCATCCTTATAAATGATTGTTGATATAATTAATTAATTTATTGTTGATTAATTTCGCTGTTAAGTATTTAATTCTTATTATTCGTTAAGGCGAGAGTTTGGCACTTGACTCAAATGCATTTTGTGTTGGACGCGTTTCGCATTAGGTATAACATACGTCATACATTTTTATACAGTTTGTGATAACTATATAATTATATAAATTATCACAAACTTCCCATCCATCATATCCTCTTTGGGGATAGTTCAAGGAAATGTAACATCGCTCTTAGCAACAATCATGTTAGTTTTTGTATAATCTAATGTTTAACTTTGTATTTCTTTAAAAAATGTCTTCAAAATTATTGTTACAGATTACCATAAAACAGATGTATGTAAGAAAATATCAATAGACAGGATTTTGTTTTTTTTTTCAATAAATATTAATGCTTAAGTTATTTGGTACTTTTATTATGAAACACCTTTACCTTCACATCTATCAACAATCCGACACGATATGTCATGATTTGGTGGATTCATTTCTATTCTAATCGTATGCGCAACGTGTCTTTTGATATTTGGAGATCATTACTTAAAACATTTACTCTTGTTTTTCGTTGTAGTAAGAAGTTCCACGCCGTTGTAGTAAGTTTTCCATTCGTCGGTGTAGTTCGACATTTCTGTAGGTAACCACAAAAATCTATGCTATAAAATGTGACCTGCAAAATGTTCCACGTAATAATTAAATATCCGACAATGACAACGAAGGCGAAGGTAACTAACACAACAACCATACCCAAGACAATTTGGAAAAAAAAATCATTTTGTGCATTGACCTACCGGGCATCGAACCCGGGAATGTCAATGACAACTTTTAGACAAAGCACTATTTACTTCGTCAAAGCTATTTTTGCTTTAACTTTAAAAACTAGTGAAGTATCTTTTACAAATAGCACAGTCTCGCATTACTTTTTAACACAGTAAGGCAGATCATTAATACCTATAAATTAAAAAGAATAATGGACCAAATATCAATCCTTGTGGCACACCCATAACAAAATAGGATCCAGTAGGCGTACTTAGACCCAGTTGCACAAACGTCAATTAAATTTTTTTTTTGGTCATACTATGTTTAAAATGACATTCCAGACACAAATTTTCAAATTTAAAACATTAATTAGGGCTTACAGTTATAATTATTACGTATTGGACATTTGTATAACTTGGTGTTAATCTAGTTAACTTTTTGCAGTGTTACAAGCCTCACGCAAGCAAATGCTTTAGAGACGCAAGATCCAAGAATATACTGCAATACGATTAATTGCTGAATTTTTCTTGGGTCATTCAATCTTGTTCAGTTAGTTATGTACTGTTATTTCTGCTGAATAAATAAAAATCCGATAAGGAGTATGTGTGTTTAATGATATCTAATTACTTAATGATTATAATGCTAGGCCGCTTCGTTATCGTAATATATGTAAACATTGTGTTTATAAAAGCACTGATACAACAACAACGCATTTTTAATACCACATAAAAAATTCACAATCGTCTCACCTATTCATGTTATCTCGATATGAATGAACTTATTATAAACGAAACGAGACAAAGAAAGGTGAAAGGAGCCAAACTATATTTCTTTAAACACATATTGATAGTATATGTTAGGTATTGTATATACATAGGAGATTCAGCTGCTGACGTGCAGTAAAGTGGCCTTAAATCATACCTATAACCTTTGGTGCACTTCGAAAAGAAATCAATATTAGCACTGACGTACCTACATGTTTGATCGTTCAAAATTGCCGCGTGTGACGTAAGCGGAGACAACTGACGTCATCCGCCTTACCGCATGTCAGAGATATACTAGACATCCCTGTCTAACTCTCTATTAATGAATGAGCGCGAGCAAGATAGTGATGTCCGTGTATTGGTTGTGAATCGAGCTCTTTTTCGTGGCCGAGGGCCGATCAACTGAATACTTTACGCATTGATAACGAATCTACAGATAAGAGTATATTGGCAGGTGCTTTTTTCGTATCAAGAATCAAGATAATGGAAATATCCACCAAAACGATAATTTTTTTCTGCGTAAAATACTGAATAGTGAAAGTTTGATATTTAATTTATTGGATTTGTTAATGAAACATCGTGGCAAACACATGATCGTCCCTTCTCAAATGACGTGAACGCTTGTGGCGCCATTGCGGCAGCCACGCTGAACTAATAGCAGTAGACAAAAAATTCTCAGTGAAGTAGTGATATCGGGTGAAATCCCAGTTTTTCACGAAAATGGATAGTGAAATCAAACCAATGCACAAAAGCAAACACTTCCCTATAGACCAGTTAGTGTGTGTCGGCAACTATGAATTGGAAAAGACTATCGGAACAGGCAATTTCGCTGTCGTAAAACTCGCTACACATGTTATAACGAAAACCAAGGTGCGTACATAGCATCGTCTCGGTGTATTTAAGTGGTTTTAGTGTTGTATGTGTGTGTTTTTTTATTTGTTGTTAGTGTCTGGACGTTTGTGAATCGTTCACCTTGTTCGCGCACATTTATGGAAAAGTTTGACGTTGGTTTTTTCCATACAATCTCGAGATTATCCGTCAGTTGGCAAAGTTAAATACTAAAGAACTCGTTTCATCTGATGTATGGGGGCGCAAACGTGTTTTGTTAAAAAAAATAACATTATTACAACCAGTTTCGGACGCACATTGTTTACTATACTGCCATGGCTGTTATGAAACGTCTGCAATCAGTCGAATTATAACTTAAGTTTTCCCTAAAAAAATCATGAAAGAGTTTTTATCATACTTTTTTCTTCACTAATTGCTAGGGATTGTGCTGTAGACATTTGAGCTGACCTCCAAAATGTTTTTGCGACAATTATTCCCAATTGACAGCTTCATTCAATGTCCTCTGCTTCAATTATGATACAAGACTTCTTATTGGATAGTTTAGTACTACATTATTTATCTTGTATCCATCTACACAATATTGTTGCATCATGGATAGTTAGAATTGGTCTTTATTTATATAGCCATAACACTGTATCAACATGAAATTGCAAACTTGTTATTCATTGTTGATTAGGGTGATTTTATTCTCATGAATAATAAACATATTTTTAACCAAGTAAAAGCAAAGCATGATATATTTTAATTAAATATACACAAAAGGCATATTCAAAAATATTAAATTTCAAAGTACATTTTTTAAATAAATGTATAGAATCAAATTTCACTTGATTCAATCTGATAAATAATTAAGACATTTGCATGTTACTATTCTCAAAAGTTTACTTGACATGGTATTTTTATGTGTATTGTTAAGTTTTGATTTGAAAGAATAGTTAGTGCTCATTGATAATTGTACTTTTCGTAAAAAAAAATTTCAAACTTACTAGTAGAAAAACTTTTTTTGCAATTTGCAATGTTGGTGCATTCTAATTCATCTTTAATATGCTGAATATGAAATTGTACATCTGACTGCATCCCTTCATCGAAGTTCAACAAGATTTCATTTATTGACTAAATAATTTACTAGTTTTAATAGCCAGAATTTTTGCAGCCTATTGTTGAAATTAGGTTGTCTTTAAAAAGCATGTGAAATTCATATCATTTATCAGACTTTTGCCATAGTAAAGTTGGATTCAAGTACTAGGTGCAGGTAACTCAATCTATGGCAGTGTTCATGGTGACCAAAAGCAAAACATCAAAAGCTTTGTCATCTGTCATATCGTCCTATTTATTTGTATCTCTTTCCACTAAATTAATGTGAAATATTTATATTAATGATGATTTAATATACAAAAAAAAACTAAAATATTTTTATTTTAAGTTTAATCTAAATCCTAATTTGTTTTGGCATCAATAAAACAAAAAGTAAACTGTGCTGAAATATAATTGTAATTTTTTTATGATAATATTTTTTATCAAACCAACATCACATTACACATATTTTAAAGTAAAATAACATTCTGATTAATTACTTTTGTTATAATTATCATTATTTGTACTAGTATTTTCAAAATAAAATGACTAAAAATAATGTTTATATTTGCTTTGATACTTTATCCATGCTGTATTCAGCTGCAATCAATTTAATATTAAAATAAAAACTCAGTTGTGATTATTAGTTCCAACAGAGATTAAGTACCTACTTCAAAAAACATAGACAAAAACATAGGTATCAAAGTTTTTATTTGTATTGTAAGTGATACACACAAACGAAGTCGTCATAATAATACTTATTTCAATCTAAAAACCATATTTTATTCATTACTAAGATACAGGAATAATTGTATATGATTAGTATTATTTAATGAAATCTTCAAAGGCACTTTAATTTCTTGTTTTATGTAAAATTGCAACTTGAAATAAGGGACACAAATTCTGAATAACCGAAATTAAACACATTATTTAAATAAAATTTAGTTACCTCATTTAATTTGAATGACTAAAAATAATTTTACTACCTCTGGTCCACCCAAATCACAGTATCGCAGTAGTTTTATAATATTAAATAATAGTTAGTTTTTGATTTTGATGTTTTGTCTAAAATAATAAGTTTAATTTCAAAACGTCAAAGTGGTCAAAAGGTTTAATACCGGAAGTGATCACCGACTTGTAAGAGGTACCCTAAATATAAATTTTAAGCTAGAGAGAAGCTGCATGACGAGATCTGTTCTCCGTCCTATGCTGTTCCAAGCCGAATATGGTTCCCAAGTGTTCTGCTTAGAACTGAGCAACCGATTCGCCGCATTGGAAATCAAAGCAAATGTTGATGAGGACCTTGAAGGTAGTAGTATAACCTTGTAGTAGAGATTATACTCGAAGTGGTAAATAGGCACTTTAAGGGAAAACGAGCAAGTCGAAAGTATAAACTTTCTAGCGAGACATTGGAACTGATGAAACTTCGTTGAGAAACACCGAGGACGAGTCTGTCAGATACACGGTTGCTCCATAAAAACATCCGGAGATTGGTACGGCGTGACCTGCGTTGTTTCAACATCTTGCTCATACAAGAGGCTATTCAGCAAAATCGGGGGTCAAAAGTCTTTACCAAAAGACTTGGGAGAACTCTTTAGAATCAGAATCTGACAAAACTCAAAACCTCAGATGGCAGGATTGTCACATCGGTTCCAGAGAATGTCGCTAAAATCGAAGACTTCTATGGTCGACTCTATGCTTCGCATGCCCCAAAGTCTTCATCCAATGCAAATGATCCCAGAGCTACACTCACACGCCATTTCATTGAAGATCTCCCAGACATTGACAAAGACGAAATTGCGGCGGCTATCAAACAACTTGGGAATGGGAAGGCCCCCGGTGAAGACGGAATTACTTCTGAGCTCCTTAAGATAGCAGGCTTGGAAAACTAAAGAAGCTATTTAATTCCGTCATAACCAATGGGACTACCCCGGAGGAGAGGAGCAGGGGTGTGGTGGCTCTGTTTTTCAAGAAAGGAGATAAATTCCTCTTGAAGAACTATAGACCAATCACACTTCTGAGCCACATCTATAAGTTGTTCTCGAGGGTCGTCACAAATCATCTTGATGCAAGATTGGACACATTCCAGCTATCGGAACAGGCTGGGTTTCGGAAAGGCTACAGTACCGTAGACCGTATACACACAGTAAGGCAAGTTATACAGAAGTCTAAAGAGTATAACCAACCGCTGTGCATAGCTTTTGTGGACTACGATCCCTGCAGCGATGCCAAGTCGACTGGCGATACGAAGAGATACTCAAAATCCTATACAATACAGCATCAATGTCAGAGCATATTTTATTTTTTGTGCGAACTCTTATCTGTCATGTTTCGGTATTTTTTATATTTTAAGGTAAACTTTATTATATATTTATAATGGTTATACTATCTAATAATGGAAATATAGTAGAAAACGCCAAAATATAAGTTTTATTTAAAGATATACCTAAACAAATTGGAACAAGTCATGTAGTGCTATCCGTTATGTGACTATTTGTAAAGACCAATTAAAAAAAACTACTGCAGTTATTAAAATATATTTATTTATTTTAAAATATCTGACATGTATATTAACTAAAAAACTTAAAAACGTATATCTCAATTTAAGAATCCTGAAAAAAATTTACTTTGTTCATCAGTTTTGTGACTAATGATACTTTTTTTAGATTTTTTTAAATTTGTTTTTGAAAATATTAAGTTTTTTGCGATTGCAAGACCATCTATTTTAATAAAATTAATTTTTACACTAAGTGAAACTTAATACTATGCCCTTAAACCAGAATAAATAGTACAATTTTAGTTTTTCTCTTTCCGAAATTAAGGGACAGTGACAAAACTGAACTTCCGAAAACAGTAAAGGCTTGTCTATATGGCACTATTTTCAGAGATATTTTTTTCTTTTAACGATTGGGCTTAGGTATTTTATATCTTAGAACTATCTAATAAACCAGATAATAGTAGGTATTTCTATTTATTACACAAGTAAAAAATAAGTAGGCAGGTACTCAAAAATAGAACATAATTTAGCTTGATAAAAAGTAATTAACGTCTTTATGAACGAACCTTTATGAGGTCAGTCATGTAGTAACTTTTGGTTCAGCCCGTATGTGACCAGCAAAATAGTCATAAAATGGAAGTCACATATATTTACCCACATGCATTAAAAAATAAATTAAAAATTATCAATCGTGCCTGGCGTTTTAAATTTATAACTACTGAATACTAAATTGAATTTACAATAACGTGTAAAATTAATAGAAATTTTGAACAATAAAAAAACATATAATTAAGACACAAACCTGAGTTAAAAATGTGTTCGTCCGTAGGGTCACTTCAACACGTCTTGTTTAGCTGCACTAATTTGACACAAAATTCACTAATTTGACACAAAATTTTTGTGTAAAGAAGCATTAAATGTTTCCATTTCAAAAAGAAATGTTCATATTAGGGGAGCTTTTGTAGTTAAAATACGGTGGCAAAACTGAAAGTTCCGGATTGTACAGAAATTTAAACGCGTCAATTTTTCTAATTTTAATAAAGTATCTGTAAACAATTGAGAAAATTTTAGCATATATAACTGCTGTCGATATTTAAGTATAAAATGAGCCAAATACATTATGTGATTTCTACCAAAAACATTTATTATTTTTCATAATAAAGCATAGTATTTGATGAGGGGACATACGAAATCAGTCCATGTGGATCACTTTAATGGCCATTAAATTAGTTCTGCTCGAACCAATGGAAAAAATATTTATAAATTACAAAATAAAACATATGTGAATTGCATTTTCTGATAAAAAGTCTCAAGATATATTTTTTCTTGTAGAATAAAAATTAAGTTAAACCCGGGGGACAGTCCTATAAAGGGCTGTGCACAAAAAAAAAGAATATGCTCGTCAATACAAGTACAAAACCGCCAGGCAAGACCCATTCAGTTGATTAGA